ACTCTCGTACATGTTACTCTCCACATCAATGGACACGGCACTGGTACACTCATCGAGCAGGGCATATTTGGGTTTGTGATAGAATAGACGTGCCACAGCCATACGTTGTTTTTCACCACCCGATAGGATATCCTTCCAATCGCGTACCACATCGAAACCATCACGATCGACAATGTGTTCCAGGGTCACCATTTTCATAATACTTCTCAGTTCATCTTCCGTAACACCCTTGCGCATCATATCTTCTCGGCTATCGGGATAGATAATTTGATCGCAGAGACTACCAATGGACATATATGGACGTTGGGGAATATAGAACATACAGGGTTTCTCCTCGACCGGTTTGGGTATGTGCAGCTCACCGGCATAAATTGGCCAAAGGCCACTTAAAATGCGGAATAAACTTGACTTGCCACAACCGTTGGGTCCAGTTATCAGCAAATGCATGCCGGGTTCAATGTCCAAATTCAAACAAGGCACCACAACATCACAGTTGGGCGTTACCACAGGTACGGCGCGCAGTGAAATGGAGGTACTATCTGGACTGGTGTAGACAATACGGCCCTTGGCCACCGGCAAGCCATTGCGGAATTCAATTATACTTGCCGATTCATTACTCTTGGCCACGGTGTTCTTATTGTAAACACCCTGGGCAGTTTGTTCGAATACCTCAAACATACCGGCCACACGGCTGGTGTAACCGGCCAAGGCCACTATTTCTTTGTAGGAAGACATTAAACGTTCAATGGCATCGGAGGCGGAGATGAGCAAATTACGGGCCGTGGTCAAATATTGGGTACGTTCACTGACCAAAGAGTCCTTGGTGGCAATGGTGGATGCGGCAGCAGCCGAACCCGTGGAACCAGTCAAAATTGGCAACGATACCATAACCATACCGGTACCGGACCACACATATTTCATAAAGAACTGTTCCAGCATGACAAACCACAGTTTTTGTACGAAGATGTTGTTCATCTGTTTGACCAGACGATTGTAGGCATGTCTGAGCTGTTGCAGTTCCACTTTGTGGCCACCGTAGAAGGCAATTTCCTCAGCATTGGTAATAATACGTGAATGGATGTGTCTCAGGTAGCCATAACGATTGGCTTCCTCCGCCACCAATTGACCAAATTTGGGAGACAATGTTCTCATAATATAGGCTGAGAGTAAAATCACAGAGCCAGACAGTAATGGTCCTGAGAAGATATTTGAGTCCATTTTCTGTGTGGAACGCATCAATGACAAACCAATCAACATTAGATCAAAGCATGGTTTCGTCACACTACCATACAAATGGGCAATAGATGTGGCAAAGACATTAATGTCCTCGGTCAGACGATGATCGGCATTCTCAATGCGGCCATCCAAATTTGAGACACGATAGTAATTTTGATTTTTGAAATACAAACGATAGGCGTGACGCACCAGTCGGGTACGGAATGCCAAGGCCAATTTACTTTCCAGGAAGCGAATCATGGAATTGACAAAGGTGGCGGGTATAGCAATGCCGAACCATTTTAGTAGCAGCAAACTGAACTTCTTAACATCCTTGCGTACAATGTACTTGACAATGGTACCCTCAAGCTGGGCCACATAAATACTAAGGAAGGTACGTGATATCAGGCACAGTGTGTGAACTCCCAGTAAACCTGTCTCATAGCTGAAAGGTTGTGGAATCATAATTTTAATCATTTGTGACAGCTGTTTGAAGAACTCTTTGTTTAGGCCGGGCTCTTGGGCTTTTTTGTTCTTTTGATTTTGGGCGACCAACAGCTTTTCGGCTTCGGCCAATTTACTTTCCTCCTCATCGCTTTCCTGGCTCTGGAAGACAATCTTTTTGGATTTGTCTTGTTTGCGGTTTTTGTTTTTCGTCAACAATGGCACAGCCATTTTAAGGGACCAGGCCATGATGGCAGCACCCACGAGGGCATGGGTTATGACGGGTTTTGGAAGACCCAGTTGATCAATTTTGTCGGAGAATTTCGAAAACACAGCCATTTTGGTTTTTTTTATTTATTTGTTGTGATCACTTTGCGTGTTCGTTTCGTTTAGAAGCAATTTGGCGTTGTTGGTTTTGTTGTCTGTAAATCTACAATATGTTGCAATATTTCGTTGTTGTTTCCGTTGATGAAATCCCCAACTAGAAACCAGTCCCACCACCAAAATGTAAGGCAAGTAAGTTCCTCGTTGCAGTTGTTTTATTTTCTTATTTATTTTTTTGTCTTCTTGCTTTTTTGTATTCTACCGTTTTTTTTTTATTTGGTTGGTTGGTGTTCAATCAATCTTTTGTTTACGTTTCTTGCAGTTTTTTTCGTTTTATTCTTCTTATTCTACGCACCACACTTCGAAACGACAACGACCAGAGCGCACTACTTGACCCGTTCACCACCCACCGCTAACTGAAACATTAAGTAGCCTGCTGGAGGAGAGCTCGATCGATCGTCGATCGTTTGGATTTCAGAACTTCAGTAGCAGTAGCAGAGCGGTGGCAGGAAACAACGGCGACGACGATGACGACAACAACAACATGCGACACACGACTGACCAGTTCCGACACCAAACAGCACAAATAAATGAGAACCATATAATAACTGCCGTGTAAGATTATTATTGCGCAAAAATTAGTTTAAAGATCAAACCAAAGGTTGCAAGTTTATATGAATATAGCGTACATGCATACATACAACACCAACTGACTAAACGACTGGCTGACTGACAGTGTGATTGGCTAGCTATTACCGACTACTGGTTGACTGATATGTACTTAGACGTCTTTTTGTATACACATAGCGAAAAAATCGAACGCGAAATAAACAAAATTGTTCCAGTCTTTCTTTATCTGCCAGCAGCTGAACTCATAATCTTGGGGTTTATTCGATACGTTTGCTTAGTCGAGTAGTACATACAGACTACTTGTTGTTACTGTTAACGCTGCTGAGGCTGCTGCTGCCGCCGTCGAGAACCCGATTAAATAAATAACAATAATACTGAGTAAAGAAGTAGGCTCCTCTATATTTGTTGTTGTTATTGACCACCATCATAAACGTTGAGAGCTTGTAGGCCCATACAAATCTCTTTGTTTTGCAAATAAAAACAGTACTGAGAAATTGAAAATTGAGGTTTTTGTTATTAATTTTTTTAGTTGTTGTTGTGGTTTGTGTGTCATCTATCTATCCGATGGGATGTGGTAAACCAGCAAGGACGTCTTTTTGTTTGCAACACTATCAATATCTTGATTATGAACAGTTATGTGAATATTTATTTAGATTTTCATTGTTGTTATTAAAAATGAGAAAACAAAAATGAAATTTTGTATACACAAAAGGGGGGTTCTATGTAATAATTGTTTCGTTCTTTTTTTAATTTAATTTGAGTCACTATTATTCTTATCGCTTTGTGTCGCGGAGGTCTTTGTTTAATTGTATTTGTAAACATTCATTTTTTGCAAACAAGGTGATTCATAAATGTTGGAAAGTTTAGTGCGCATAGAATCTTAAGCAGGGTTCACACGACGCAGGGGTGCTATTAGAGAATGAATGTAACGTAATAAGGTATTTCGACGTAGCGTATATTTTGAAATGTGGAAAATAAAAGAAAAGAAAGGTAGGGCCCATGTATCGAAAAAATGTAGAGTTAATTTGGGAAAAGGCGCTACATGAAATCATTAGAGCGGTTAAGAAGAAGAAAGAAAATTATATGATGGCTATGTCAAAATATAAAGCTATATTTTCAGCATATTCTCTAAGAAGAATGATTCACAGAAATGTCGAAATAACTTATTGGATTTCTATTTGAAGTCCTCATGGCATTTTATTTTGTATGTAATGACTTCATGACCTTCTCCGTGTCACTTCTTTGAGAATAACTAATTTGTAATAAAAATACCTTATGTATTCTATAAGAAGACGTCCTTAAGCCTAGTTTAGGGCCCCCTCCCGGATCGTTTTGAAATTATTACCACATGTAGTCAATGCTTCGATCTGATGTTCGTTGTTTTGTCACTGATGCGTTCGACACAGCAAATGAACTCAAATCTCTTCTCAGGACCTCTAATATCCGACCCAGTGATTTTACTCTCAGCCTATATGAATTGAGAAACTTGTCACACAAAGGTGTTGAACTGATGGCGGAGGAAGCTAATCGTTATGGCTACTGGGAGGCACATCCATTTTCGTATTATTGTCAATGCTGAGGAAACCATAGAGGCCACAAAATAGAACAGCAATAGCTAAGTCAACAAATAAACTATTTTTTTACAAAAGCTGTTGGTCCGGCACCGGTATGGTTGTTGCTATTTTTTAATAGTTGCACGGATTCCGCTTCATATACTGTTGCCAACAAGAACTTTTTTTCTATAAGAACTCATCCTTCTATGTCATAACTGTATGTTGCAGGGAACAGCTGCAAAAAAAAAAAAAATGTCGGTACTCTATAAGGAAACTCCCGTAAATTTTCTGTAACTGTAATAACCTAATATAACAATTAATATTCTTGTACAAGTCCTAATAATATTCCATCAGCCGACATACTTGCATCCAATAAGTTGACTCCATGAACGTCTATAGAAAGGACTAGTGGTCAATACAACGTGTGATTATATACTAAACCCTAAAGGTATTCTATACCTTGTCCTAAATGCTTTCTACTTTTTTTTTTTTGAAAATAATGTATTTACATGGAACATCTGGACACCTGTCGCAACATGGCAAGTTTGGAGGAGATACATTAAGATGAAAGTCAAACCTGTAGAGGCAGCGAAATACAACTAAATATTACAACAATAACACAAAAACCCAAAACACATTTGAGATTTACAATAAACTATAAATGATTATTATATTTATATATATATTTAATAAAAAATACATGTATTTTAATGCTACTTATTAAATCTTGTTACACTGTACGTATGTAAATTCCTCCAATTGAAAAAAAGACCATTGGGAGAAATTAAAAGATCGTTCTGAGTTTAGTCCCATAACTTGTGATTGTTGTTGTGCCTTTAATTTGCACTCTCGCAAGCGTCCACCCAATCATTGTACACATCCAGAGGTTCCGACAGGAAATTAATTGTCGTCTGATATTCTTCGAGGCAAATGCGACAGCTTATTTTGGCCGTATTTCGGGTCTTGTCCATTTTCACTTCGCACGACAGTTCATGATTACAGAAGGGGCAATTGAATTGTTGATCCAGTGGTTCGATATTTTTTCGCTTTGGTGGTGGCTTTCTTTTTGATTTACGACGACCCATTTTGCTTTGATATTCCTTGAAAAATTACTATTATTTTATCTTTTTTATTAAGACGCGCTGTAGTTTAGTTTTTTTTTATTCTATGGTCGTTTGCCGTATTGAATAGTTAGGGATATGTAAGTCGATTTTTTTACTAATCGATAAATCGGCTTCAAGTGGCAAATGTAATTTGAGAAGTACTATCGATTTGAAGAAAAACCCGTTCAATTTTAAGGCCTATTAAACGGATTGTATAAATGTACGTTTAAATTTATGAGATCCACTCGATCTCAAATGCCAATTCCATAGCGTAAACGTCAAATATAATCCACTGGATTTGTTAACTGGATCAACCTGCTTGTCTTCCATGAGAAGACTAACTAGACTTTTATGAGAAAACAAAAAAAGATATCATATTCATGTCACCTTTATTGGAGTTTATTTGAAGAATCCAAATAGTGCCATCTGATAAAGATATTGCATTAGTAGCTCCCAAATCTCCCAAATATAAGCACACGGTTGCCCAAGCGACTATTTTATGTTCCACATTACAAAACAATGTTCGACGGGGAAATATATTCCCGGTGTACTACAACAAAGAAATAGAAAAATTAAAGGAATCGCTAAAATCAGTCCATTACCCTGCAGCGATATGATATTGACTAAAGAAACTATTTTCTCTTCTTGCATCAGAAAACAAACCCCCTCGAAAAACAATTTCCATCGAATGAAGATGTTTTCACCGAAATTGATGCCTATATTGAAACAAATGATAAATTATACCTCTTAAATATAATCGAAACGCTAAAGGGTGTCTAAAATCATTGTATCATCCTTGTAAGGCATTACGTTAAGAAATATTTGCTACTACTATGACAGGTGTGGGACTTTTAAATTAAGTTTTTCCTTTAAAATTCCAAATGTCTTATATAGTCAAAAGACCTTCCGTAGCTCTTATGTAGACTAAACATATTCCACAGATCTTTTATAGACAAAGGACATTCCACAGGTGTTCTATAGTCAAAGGACATGTTTTCTATAGACAGAAGACCTCTCACAGATCTTTTGAAGACCATAGACGTTGCACAAATGTTCTAAAAAAAAATCTAATCTAAAAAATCCTTCCTTGTGTGTTTTATAGACCCAACCAATGAAGATTTTTTATAGTGATCAAAAGGCTTGATTTTTTTTAATATGTCTATAGAAGTTTATTTCCAAATCATTATTGGAAATTTTGCGATTATGACTCCTCTCCTCTTACTCAATAAATATCATTTTAGAAACTTTTCAAAAATTCTACCCTTTATATTTATAACTCCCCAACAATATTATTTAAACCACAAGCTTGGGACCCTCAAAAATATTCTTTAAAAAAATCTGCTATAATTTCCCCAGCATATGTATCCACTGCCACAAGTCGCTTTTAAATTAGGTCGCACTGTTAGTTCAATGTAAACACATTGCATGTCATTACTACCTCCACATGTGCTACAAGAGCTGTCATTTCATTTGTTTTCGTTTTTGGATTGGAATTGATAGGATTACAATTTTAATAAAATTGAATAAAAATAATTAAAACCCAGATAATTTGGAACCAAAATGGGAACGGTAAGTAGTCAATATATTTTACAATTAAAATTATCTAATTTTTTCCAAACGTGTCTTGCAGAAAAAAGTGAAAATCTCAGCGGTGAAACGTGCCGCTCATCTCAAGCAGAGGAAGGCTCCGTTGACCAAACAACAGCAGCAAAAGTTGGCCCAACAAAAGTCGGCCAAGGAACGTGGTCAAAATATTTTCATACAAAAGGCCCACAAGAAGGATGAAGTCTTCCAACGGAAGAAACAAAATAAACGCTCCGCCATGGGTTTGCCCGAGGTGGATCATGATGAAGAATTGGATGAGGATGAGCTTTTGGATAATGTGGCCGATATGTTAGACGGCGAGGATTTGGAATATTTGAATTTGAAAAAGGGTAGAAATAGGAAACGTAAACATTTCACCGGTGAAGAGGCCGATGATGATGATATTAAACATGCTGTGGGTTTGGAAAAGCAATTTGCCCATGAAACCGCCCTGGAGGATGCTACCAAGAAAATAACTGTTGATTTGTTGCCGGTAAAGACGAGAGAGGGTGAAATTATAACGCGTTCAACACAGGTTGATTATAAACCGAAGCCAAAGGCCAAGAAAGCCACCGAAGTAGGTGAGGAGGAAGAAGGTGAAGAGGGTGCGGAAGGGGGAGAAGGTGAAGGAGATGATGAGGAAGATGACACTGCCGACATTGAATACGAAGACAGTGATGATGATGTGGTCAACGATGAAGACGACACCAATGCCATTAAAAAGGTGGCCGAAAAGAAAATGGTTTCCACCACAGATTTGCTGATTGCCCGCCAACAGGAAATCGAAAGACAAAAATACCGCATCGGTATTATTTGTTCGGGTATTTTGGAAAAACCAGAAGATAAAATGCGCAACTTCAATGCCTTGTTTGAGTTAATGGATGAAACCAACAAGGCTGGCGTTCCCAATTTGCTGACCGTGCGTAAAGTGGCCATTGTATCGTTAACAGAAATTTTCAAAGATATTCTACCCGAATATCGTGTCGGTCAGGTGGATACAAAAATGCAAACGGTTCGCAAAGCCACCTTGGAGAGAGTAACGTTTGAAAATGCTCTGCTGCAACATTTCAAAAAATTCCTACAACGTTTGGAAAAACTCACAGCCGCAGTAAATCGTAAAGGTCATGGTCGTGTTACTCCGCAATCGGTGAAAATGGCCGAGGTGGCTGTGCAAAGTATGAGTGATCTGCTAATGGCTCATCCATATTTCAATTATGTCAAGAACATTGCCCAGCTTTTGGTGTACATGTTGAATTCGAATTATCCCAAGATGCGTGAGACGGTACACAATTGCTTCCGTTACGTTTTTGCCAATGACAAGAAAATGGATATGACCTTGTTCATAATACGGCGTATAAACCACTTGATTAAAAGTCGAAATAATGTTGTGCATTTGGAATGCATCACATGTTTGATGGCTCTCAAGATTAAAAATGTCAATTTGGATGCGGAGAAGGAAAATGAATTGAAACAAAAGAAATTGGAGGCACATCGCCAACGGCTATTGAGTTTGTCGAAAAAGGAAAGGAAGAGGCGTAAGAAATTGGCTGAACTGAATAAGGAATTGGATGAGACAAGGGCCGAGGAAAATAAACAAACCAAACATGCCAAACTGACGGAAATTGTGAAAATGTTGTTTACCATTTATTTCCGAGTTTTGAAAAATGATCCCACTTCCCGTGTACTGAGTGCCATTCTCGAGGGTTTGGCAGAGTAAGTTGGGATGAGAACCCCTTTTTAAATGAGTTCAAAATTAATCCCTTTTTCTTCCTTACAGATTTGCCCATGTCATCAATTTGGATTTCTTCTCGGATTTAATTGAAGTTCTGAACAACATTTTGGAGACCCAAGAAGATTTGGGTTATCGCGAACAATTGCATTGTATCAAAACAATTTTTGTAATTCTATCCGGCCAGGGTGAGGTGCTAAACATAGATCCCATACGCTTCTATCAACATTTCTATAGAAATATGTTGGCAGTACATGCGGGTAAAAATCATGATGATTTTCGTATAATTCTACAAACATTGGATGAGGTATTGGTCAAGCGGCGACGCAATATGAGTCAACAGCGATTAATGGCTTTTATTAAACGTTTATTGACGGTCGGTTTGAATCTATTGCATCATGGTACCCTAGCTACATTGGGTACAATTAAAACAACCTTCCAATTGACATCAGTTTTGGATATTTTGTTGGATACGGATGATAGTATAGGTTCGGGAAAATATGATCCAACTTTAGAAGATCCGGAATATTGTAATGCCTCATGTACGGCGCTATATGAACTGACAATGTTGCAAAGGCATTATCATCCGATTGTACGTAAAATGTCGACACATATTGCAAATGGTGTACCGGCTTCTGGAGAGGGTTCACTGCCTTCGGAAATTGGTAAATTGTAAGTATACTAAATACATTTTTAAATGTAAAAAACAAATCTAATTCAAATTGTTTTTTTTTTCTTAGAACCGCCATGGAATTGTTTGAACAATTCGATAGCACCCAGATGGCATTTAATCCCACAATTCCTGTACCCCGACCATGTGAACCAAAAATCAAAAAGGGCCCACATCAATATTTGAGCGGAGATTTTAAACCTTTCTACAAGGATACATAGTTTGGCTTTTTTATATTACATTGTATGAAATAAATGAAATTAAAGGTCCACAATCATAGGCAGAAGTCCTCATTTATGTTTTTCTCCAGATTTTATATACATAGAAGGTTTTCTAAAAAACAGATTATATTCTAGTTCTTAAATAGCAAAGTCCTTGAAAAATAATGTATAGATTTTAAAGCTTTTATTATAAATCCACTATTAAGATGGGACCTAAAAACATATTCTATACCAAGTTCTTGAAAAATATTCTTTTAAACAATAATAATGCTGAAAAATCCACGTATATAGTTTGGATAGTCCTGAAAAATGTTCTTTAAAAAATCCACAATCATAGCTCGGATAGTCCTTCAAAAGTATTCTTAAAAAAAATCCACACTTCTAGTTTGCAAAGTCCTTGAAAAATAATCTTTAAAAAATCCACGTTTATAGCTTGGATAGTCTTTAAAAATATTACTTTAAAAAATCCACGCCCTATAGTTTGGATATTCCTTGAAAAGTATTCTTTAAAAAATCTACACTTATAGTAGGGTCATACCTTGAAAATATTCTTTAAAAAAAACCCTCGCTTATATTTTGGATAGTCGTTAAAAATTATATTTTGGAACACTTAGGACTATCCTTAAAAAAAAGAATATTCTTAGGGACTATCCAAAATATAAACATCAAGTTTTAAAGAATATTTTTCAAGGACTTTGCATTACTAGAAGAGTGGTTGTTTAAAGAATATTTTACGAAGGACTATCCGAGCTATGATTGTGGATTTTTTAAAGAATATTTTCAGGACTATCCAA